AGTTAAAAGTTGGTGTTGAAAACAGTTTTGTGCATACAAATTTTATATAACTCCACTTAACATTATTTAGCCCTCACGTCCAGAGAATAGAGTAATTACGCTCCTACATGTTATCCAGAAATTAATAATATTTGACACTCAGGTGAGAGCAGAACATGGTAGTGACTTCTTTCTGTCAACATTTATTTGAAAATACTATTTTATACATTTCAAAAACGTTCAACATGATTATTAAGGTGGCTGCTTCTTAGACTATGGTCTCGTTATGTCTCCGAGACTGGTGTATTCAAAGCAAACTAACTTCTTTCACACGAAGAGAAAGTGGATCAGGTCTGTTTCTTACTTTTCTACTGGTGCCATATTTGGGTCTATCAATGACTCTAAATAAATAAACAGTTAAGTGTATTCTATGGGTATGTCCTACAAGACTCTGTTTGCTGATCTCGACATTCTACATCTACTTCCCTTTATCTTTTGTGACGTATTTGCTATTATATATATATATTTTAATATCGATATTTGTTTAATTTGAATATATATTTAGAAATGTACATAACTTATTCTGTTAAATATCTATTGCGAAACTCCCGCATATTATCTAAAGTTGTAGAAGATTCTCGAGTGTAAGAATCAACAATATAAGTGTGTGTACGTAAACGCTATTGTTAGCATCAGTATTATTACGTAAACTGAAATTTCAAGAAACTCTACACACGCCTATAAACATAACCAACGCGCCGCGCCAGAAAAAGATTATCTATTATTGGTTTGCTATAGTTGGTGTGCTATAAACTTCGGAACTTATAACTGTGATTGTTATAACGCTTATTTATTGGGACACTTCAGATATTTGACAAGGAACATTTATAAATTTCGAACGTTATAAACCATTTAACTTTAGTGGATTCACATCAGACATTAGTACTTTTACAAAGATATATATAACTTCAGCGGTAAAAGAAACATGACTTGTAATCAGCGTGTGACCAACGAGAACAACAGAGCTAGCTATTTTACTATTAAGTGAATTGTACCTAGGTCAACTCGAGATTAACTCGCTCATCGTGAACCCTCGATAAAATATCAAGGAAGTTCCAGGCTAGAAAGAAGACTACATATTGCTTGTTAGTTTGTAAAACTTTTGTATATAAATCATTATTTGTAATAACTATTTATGATAATCGTTGTTATAAATTGTATTATTGTTGGTAGCTCTGGGTAATCGTGGAGTCAAACAGTTTTAATTGTCTATTCTAGCATCCCGAATGTTGTCCATTGTGACATTTTTTCTGAGCTTTTTTTCACAATTGAATTTTCGTTACCTTTTGTCACAGCACTTGAATGAATCCACAGTGATGTCATTTAGTTATCTTCGTCATGTTCATCACTTTCGCCAAGAGAATTCCAGCCTTGATCAGCTGTAACAAGTAGCTGTTGTTTATTTGGGGTTGAAGGGAAGCAGGGACGTAACGTAGTGATGGTAAAAGACCAGGTACTATAATACAAATACGACATGAACACAGAAGTCCACTATCCTTGCTTCTGAGTGATATTTGCAATATCATTTAAGTTGACTAACTGATGCTGTGTCACATGACATCCATAAAAAGTAGATATTTGATGCCACATACTGTGAGTAGGGTTTGATCTCTAACAGATTAATGTACGGCTTATATTAATTATACAGCTTCTTCTATTTGAGTTAACAAGCGCCAACGATTAAATCACGAAGGTAATAATTGGTAACTATATATATGGAAGTAAGAAGCTCTACGTAAATACTGCTGGAAACAGCATAAATACGGGACATTAACGTTATTGAGTTATTTACGGGCTAAGGGATACACTCTCACAAACGAGGTTACTCTTCATGTTGCGCATATTCCCCCATACCTTGCCTTTTCAATACACGTTTGTCACTTTCGACGCTTCGGAAAACCAAGTCCTCCTTGAAGCATGGAGTTATTTGTCACCAAACAACATCTCAACATCCACAACATACTAAGATCATAAAGACCACACTCTACAAAGAATATTATTAAATCAGGCCATGTTCTTAGATCAATACAGATTTGGAGCAGATTAATATTAACTTGGCGTATGCAGTGTGGCTTCCTGCTATCGTTTCTGATATGCCCAATATTACCTATAATCATTAAAACAACATTTGAAATAAATTTTATTTTTGTGATGCATTGGGCCATTTTAAACCATTATTGATACATATAATCTTTGCCATATAATTTTTCGCGTCTCAGTATCGCAAAATTGAACTCAGCTCTTTGGGACTGTGGGCGCCTTATAAGAGTGAAGTTCAATTCCCAATATTACATAGATGAGCCAAGAGTTAGCTGTAGGTGCTATTAACTAACTATGTTGCATTGAGTCCAGCAGTTCAAAATTAGGAACGAATAACGCAGATAACCCTTTTACAGCTTTGCGCGAGCACCCGAAGCAAACAAACAGATATTATAATAAGGTAGTGAATACCGGGGGCAGGTTGGCCACAGAGTCAGGTTGACATAGTGGTGAAGTTGGTAACCATGATATCATGACCACTAACACATCTAAACACGTGTCACTTGCTGTTTTAGTTTCATCGTGATCGGAAGCCTCTGTAGTGTGCAGGAGTAAAAATTAATATTTTCACTTACGTTAGTAAATATCTTCTACTACAAAGATATTGTTACGTTATATTAAATACTTTGTTGAGATAATCTAAGTTGCATATTGTTTGAAAGTGCATTCATTTGGCTATATGATGGTATAAATTTTGTTACGGCACACACGCCATTTTTAGTAAAATGGCGGTTTGGGGTATGTTGACACACTTCTCTTGCGGCAGGTTGACAAGCATATCAACCAGTTTCACAAGGAAAATTTTGCATGTAGTTTTTCAGCTCTTACAACAAGCTAGATATAATATAAAAATATTTAAATATATTTTTATTAATTTTAATGAATGTTAAATTTTGAAAAAAATAACGAAAATTAATCAAAATTCTTGTAAATTCTTCATTGTATTGCTCCCTTTCAATTATGTTCTTATGATATCTTTTATGAACTTTGAATTTCGAACTGTGATTATAGGCATTATGGTGTGAAACAATTATAGTGTTTTTATTTCATTTACTTAAAATAATAAATACATTGATAGAAATAGATAATTTTGGATTTAATTTCATCCGTGCCAAGTTGCTCCGTACTCTTATATTATGTTCATTTCTGAGAAAATTATCAAAGAGATAAGTGATTTGTTTTTCTGTGTAACAGAGAAAGATGTCTAGTTTACATTGGTATAGAAATCTTTTATCTTCAAGTTCGCAGATGATTTGTATTTAAAAATGAAAAACAAAAACAAAAACGTGAGTCAACCAGCCTTCATCTCCCCTAACTATTTACATATTTAATTAATTGTTTAATTTGATTCGAAAATTATTAGTGATAACTACTGGATTATGTATAGTTTGGTCGACATGCTTTTTCAAATAAACACGCAAACACATACATAGATATATGGAATTTATATATAAACTCTTACTTGTGTACAGAAGCACATTATGCTAGTACAATACTAAATTGCCAAACAACGATTTATAAGCGTAATGAAAATTATATTATGTAGAGAACATATTACATGAAGATGACAGATCAATCTTCCGATGAAACTTGTAGTATACGTTCTCTACATAAAATAATTTTCATTATGCTTATAAATCGTTGTTTGTCAGTTTACTATATGATAAACTCTTGTTTAACAGCTGAGTACACTGCAACGTATATGTTTGAAAGCATGCGGGTAATTTAAAGGTTTTTAATTTTTTAACACAGTTGTTTCTTGTTCTATGTTTTGGTAACTACGTTAAAACAACTCATCATACCTTTTTCAGAACTCTGTAGCCATATATTTAATTATTTCTGCAAAATACGGAGTTTGCAGGGCCCAGGGTAAATTACAAAAGTCTTTGTGTTTTTTTTTCTACATTTGGTGTTAAAACACTTAAGTTTTTTATTAAATATAAAAGTTGTAGCGATGTTTCCAAATACAAGCAAACCATCACCTAACTAATATCACAGAAAAAAGTCCCTCATATTACATTCTTCAGCTAGAATTTTTCCACCATAATATTCCTTATTGTGTTAATATCAACCACGATAAGTTTATTTTCTAAGATAAAATGATAACTTCATAGAAATATTCACACATACAAAAAGTATAAAAACAAACTATGTTCTATTAATTGCTATCATATCTAAGCTTCTACATAATAATGAATCGAATAGTGATGATTTTTAAATATTAAAATCAATAAATCCAACACGCCACATTACAAAATGAAGCATTTCTACTAAGCCTGGCTACTATACCAAAGTTATTTTATAAGCAATTTCTAATCCTAAACATTTGAAGTTTTGAGAAAAGTTTAGATTTACATGTAACTATTTTTGCTAAATAATTTAAAGTACAATTTGTTGGATTTAATATCCAACATTTGTATTAGTTTTAATCTAAAGGTACCTATTTATCTGTCACAAAAGAACAAACACACAGCTACAACTTTTCTATACATTTTCTAATTCTGTGTTATTGCATAAATGAACAATACCTCAGAATCAAGTATTAATAAAAAGCCTAGAGAAAACAACTTGGTGACAAACATGTTAGATCCAAAACAACAATTAAAATAAAAAATGTACCTTGGAATTTTGTTAATTTAAACAAGAAAGTTTTAGGAATCTTTGAAGGTTCTTTCAGCAGAAACATGGAGTTCGTATAATAAAGAATTCATTAAAAAGAGGTGAGGTTATGATATTTCATTTCAAGAACCTAGCTATTTAGGGTTATTTGAAAAACAATGTGCCTAAAATTTGGCATTCATTTAAGCAGCAAAGGCTGTTCTTTATAATAAAAGAACCGGATTTTACTATTAACTTAAGATTCTTCCACGAAAGAAAAAGAAAATAAAGAACAGAGTTCAGATAACCCACTGGTTATAGCCATAGTTTCATTTATTATGTATAAGATATAGCATTTAGAAAAAATTCGGTTCTTAGTCCTGGTTCTTCCATTAAGAAGTGGCAGTAAAAGCTATGCAATCAAAGATCAGCAGTAGTTAAGATCGTTGAATCAAGGAGATTTTCCAGGAGCAAGGTAAACATAAGGTGAATGTGCCACACCAAAGGTATAGGCAGGACTTTGTTTAGTGACAACATAAACCTATGAAGAAAAAAAACAAAACATATTAAACATATGATTTATCATTAAATATAGTTTGTGGAAAAGGGACAATTTACTCTAACCACTTAATCCATTTTCACTTATATATTTTGTTTTTACTGTTTGAAGATAAGAAGCTATAGCTTTTTATGTTTTTGAGTATAATTAAAAAGTATACTAAATTGTCCAGTTGCTCAACCCTTATTTGACCTTGTTTGGGCATACGTGTAATGTTTCATATTGGTTTTTATATAATTTGATGGTGCTTATTACGAAGCCGGAGGATGCCACATCGAAATCCAAAAAGGTTTTGATATATTCAAGATGGTACCCAAAAGGGCTGTCATAACTGAAAAACTACAGTAGCTCAGCTTCTAAAAGTAACAAAGTAGCAATTCTGACATCTAGACTTAGGTTTACGGTGTCTAAGAACTTCAATTTGGTATTAAAAATACAATATAATTTATCATATAATTAAAAAAAAATGCCATTTTAACTACTATGATGACTACCGAAGGAAGAAGTCTTCAACCCGTATGTTCCACATTAGTTGAAGAACTGTCTGAATCTGACTAAGCTACAGAAGGCAAGCAAAATTCTTCATTAGAAATTATATAGTATGCATAATGCACATGCAGTGATAAACTATACTTGTGCAGGCGATTTAAAAAAGAAAAGTATACATTTTTCACATATACTGTTACTCTGGACAAAACCGGTCAACATTCATAGCAACAATTTTACATATTGTAATGTGGGCCATTAAATACCGTAATGCTCTCCTACGATTCATTGAAACTATAAATATAACAAAAATATTCCATATCCTAAAAAACATCATATCAATCTGGTATACCATAAAAACAGAAGTTAGTAATGGATGTGTGATATAGAGGGAGGACATGAGAATGAGTCACGAGAAGGCTGATGTTATGGTGCAGCAAATGTTGAGCATTGCCAGTGAAAGGGCTGATGTATTATAATCATACCTGATGATAGTGACGTGTTTGTTTTTGTTATGTACTTCTACATAAGAAACAATATTACATGCACTTTATCTAACTAAATACTGTTGGCTACAGGATGAACTCTCGAAAGTATCTGTACCAGTGACAATGCCAACATCGCTACCGGAAACTCTGCAGATGATTTGCTGGGGATGTGGCAGAGAGCAGTCTTGTTCTAGATGTGGATGTGCGACAAATCAGCTGTTTTTGTAACGTATTTTGCAAAAGCCACAGATCCAAAATTTGCAACAACAAATGGACAAAGTCGTATAAATATCACATTGATGAGAACGATGATGAGATTGAAAGTGATGAAGTCGTTGAAGCACAAATGTGTGTGACACCATGTTTCGAATATAACAATTCTAAAGTCTTTCAAAGAGATTGTGTTATTATTTTTCTAGCTTTAGCGCCCATTCTTGGCGAATTTTAACTTTAAGTTGCCATTATGTAGTATTTAAGATACTAGTGCGTAGCAATATTGATAATGTTTCTCCTGTTTACAACATCTGTTGATCAATGCGAAAACAATGATTTTGTTGCTCTTAAAATGTATTTATGCGTACCAGGTTAGTATGATGTTTCCTACGATATAGAATTTTTTTGTTCTATGGACAGTTTTCAGGAATTGTAGGATAGCATTTAAGCAATGGAAAATTGTTGCTATGAATTAAGCGCCATCTTGATTATTTCAAAACTCTCAAGGATGTCTAAGTAGAATCCTCTTGATTCATAATAAGCACCCTCGAATTATGTAAATACTATCAAAACACTTTACACATATGCCAAAACAGGGTTCACCCTCCTGCTGCTGTATTAAAAACCTAGACGTTATAATTGCTTATTATCAATACAACTCTATATATTTCCAATGTTTGTGAGAAAACTGCACTGATTGTTATTGCATCAATACATCTTCACTCCTTTAGTATGTAATCACTTCTTTTTTAAACACTACTGGAGGAAACTAGTATGAGCAACGTGAAAGCTATTCGTTGTAAATTAAGTTTTATATAACGTCATGGTCTGATTAAAAAAACATACTCTGTAAATGTTTTTACGTGCCTCATCAGTGAAAAACATCCATACAATTCTGTTTTCTTAAGTCACCAGTACAACAAATTACTTTGTTATAAAAGTAATACACGGTGTCCTATTATGAAACACTACAAGGTGATTATAGTATTATGGCACTTGTATATAAAGTTAAAATCATAAATAATATTCAACGTTAAATTGGTACACAATTAAAAACATTTTAGGATGACGTTGTAACGTCGAAACATGTAGAGTCGTCAACTTTTTGAAGGC